TCTGCAGGTCGAAGCCGGCGCTGTCTGCAAACTGGCTGCCTGTATTGGCAGTAGTCCTCCTTGCGCTCAAATTCCCAGTGAGGACACAGGCCACCGAAGGTGGGAGCTGCACGTGGGGGGGGCCCTCTGCACAGGGCCTGAGTCTGGGAGGGCAGAGAGGGGCTGATGACCCAGAGCTGAGCTCGAGGGGGCACGGCCTGAAGGTCAGGGGTCAGAGGGCCAGGCCTTCCCCGAGGCTCTGGGTCCAGGTTTGAGGAGTGGTTTGGATGGACCAAAAAACCAGCTCTCGGGGTGCTCGCCCGAAAGCAGAGCCGGCCAGCGACCGGCTTCACACACAGCACCGAGGCCTCCTAGGGACACCAGCAACCCACGACTGACTCCAGGACAGCCCAGCGGAGAGCAGTCACCACCAGAGAAGCGAGGGCGGCCGAGAGAGAAGCCAAACACTCTGAGAAGGAGACACAGGAGAGAGGGGTCCAGCAGGTGCCCGACTGCCCGGCTACGTCACCCAGAGGAACAGAGCCGCCAGGACAGACGCCCGTGGGGACAGCACCAGACGCTGAGCAGGCCCGGCCCCATGTCCCCCAAGTGCTCCCTGCCCGAGTGCATGAGGTGAGACACCCGTGCGGGAGCACACAGCCCTTGGCCGCTCCCTGGCTCGAGCCTGTGACGCCTGGAAAACCTCGCCCCTGAGAAGAGCTCAGGCGTGCGGCACTCAGCGCTGGAGCAGAGCACGGAAATCCCAGGCAGCGTGACGCACAACGCAGCCGGAAGGGAGCAGGCAGAGCCGCGGGCAGACGGAGCCGTGGCCAGGCCGCTGCGGTGGCCCGTGGCCCAGGACAGGGCGCAGCCAGGGTGTCCCCAGTGCTGGCCCAAGGCTGCGGCCGGAGGCTGTCGCCCGCACTGCCACCCAGCCAAGCCCCGAGCCCCAGGAGCGCACCTTCCTTTCGCTCAGTGTTGTCACCTGTATCCAAACAGCCACACGTGACAGCACGCACGCAGCAGAGCGCCGGACAAGACCACACGCCTCCACAGGCTGCGATGCTGGGATGGAGCAGGCGCCTGCCCGTCAGGCAGGGACCTGGGTGTTTCTTCTCACAGCTGCCTCGGGGCTGAGGGGGCGCACAAGGCCAGAGCCGACCCAGGGGAGATCACCCCCCACACACAAAAGCTGAACCTCCAAAAACAGCACCCTGGAGCTCCCGGTAAACAGGACTAAACCTGCCCACCTCTCTCCTCGGGAACCGGGAAAGCTGCCTGATTGGAGGAGAAGGAAGTCCAGAAAGCACAGCCCTGACGCCATCACGCTCACCACCGCGCTGAGTGCCCGCGGAGGGCTGGGCGGCTCCAACGACAACCACAGGCGTTAGAGACCAGCTGGGCAGCAGCAACGACAGCCTGTACCAGACTCGAGGCTCCTCTGCAGAGACTGCAAGCGGAGCGCACAGCTCGCCACGTGCTGCCTGCGCAGCGTGTCCAAACAGGCTCTTCGCCGCCACAGAGCTGGGGAGGCCGAGGAGCTCGGCTGGGGCCGGGCAGCCAGCCCACAGGTGTGTCTCCCTTAAGGCGGCTCCAGGTTCAGGGCGCCGGATCCTGCTCAGTGCTCGTACCTGCCGCCTCTGCGGGCCAGGGCGAAGAAGAGGTGCCCAGGGCACCCCCGGAGAACGCGACCCGGCTACAGCCGTGCGACAGGCACACGGGAGGGAAGGAGAGCAGGCAAGTCCTGCCCGGTCAGCGCCTCGCGGCTCCCACAGAGCATGCACTGGTGAGAGCAACGTTGGGGCCCAACGGAACAGCGGAACCCGTGGATCTCGGACAGTGACGAGGCCCCCAAGAACCCACCAGCAGCATTTGGCACTTTCCTTGAACTATAAAGAGCAACCAACAGGCATTTGAGGAAAACCTCTAGATAAAAAAGAGCAAAACAGATGCATAAAATTCAAAGTGACCGTCAGTGATGTGGTCAGAGGACAAGGAAGGACTGCGGCTCCAGAGAGAGGCTCGGAGCCAGGACGCAGACTGACAGCACCCCTGCAAGAGCGGAGGGAGGCGGGATGAGGCCTGGCTGCAGACCGGGAAGGGGAGAGGGGCCTGCAGAAACCCTGGGACCGGAGCTATGGGGCAGGGCCGTGGACCGCCGGAGACCAGCAGACACTGGGCCAGGAATCTGCGGAGCTCCGGGCGCAGACGCGGGAGCCCCTGGCCCCGTGGGGTACAGGGGTCCCCTGAAGCCTGGGCAGAGAACAGGAAGCACAGAAGGGTCAGAAGCAACAAGTGGGCTCCAGGAAGCAGGCCCGGGCCAGTCGGGGGGCAGGTCCCGAGTGACGGTGCGGGGACAGCCTCACAGTCTGCAGTCAGGAGGGAATTAGCAGGTACAGACGCCTCGGCCCTCGGAGACGCCGTCAATGCTAATGCTGGGCGTTTACATGGCCTCACCGCCACTCACACGCTGATTGAAACAGTGGGCGACACACCCCAGTGAGGACCAGGAAGGGAAGGGTGAGCCCGATGGGGCCTGACCCCCCGCCACACGGGTCAGGAGGTATCTCGACCGAGCCCAGCACCAGGGGAGGTGGGGCAGCCTGCAGCCCACACGCACCTGGATCAGCATGTGGCAGATGTCCACGTGGCCGGCCTCCGCCGCCGCATGCAGGGGGGACCGCTTGCCCTGGTGCTCCATCTTGAAGTTGGGGTCAATCCCGTCAACTGTGAACAAACAGGTTTGACTGCTTATTTTGGAGCCGGCATGAATTCCCGGCAACAGGCCGTCTTCAGGCACCTGCACTACTGACTGGGCCACCGCTGGGGGCGGTGGGGGGGCGGGGCGCAGCAGCACCTGGGTCTGGTGGAGACCGGCTCCAAGGGAGCCGTTCGGAGTCTCTGCGTCACCAGAGGGGAGGCTGTCGGAAGCCACCTGTCGATACAAATCCTCTCCCTTTAGCCCCTGGCTACCCTGGGCCCCAGTAACTGCCACAGGTGAACGTTCAGACAACTTTTATTTTTATTTTTTAATATATTTTTATTGATTTCAGAGAGGAAGGGAGTGGGAAGGAGAAAGAGAGATAGAAACATCAATGATGAGAGAGAATCACGGATTGGCTGCCTCCTGCATGCCCCACACTGGGGATTGAGCCCGCAGCCTGGGCATGTGCCCCGACTGGGAATAGAGCTGTGCTCAACCCAGTTACATGCCCCTGACCGGAATCGAACCTGGGACCTTTCAGTCCGCAGGCTGACGCTCTATCCACTGAGCCAAACCGGTTTCGGCTCAATACAACTTTTAGAGCAAACTGTTAAATTTCTCTCCTGATTTACTATGAAATGAAGGGAGTTCTAATCACTTTTTCAGCCCAGAGAAAGCAGGCCCAGAGCTGGGAGCTCAGAATGCAGCCGTGAGGAGGCGGGGACCTCGACGTCCACCCCACAGGGCACCCCTACAGACGCAGGTGCAGGGCGGCTCCACATTCAAGGTGGGGTCCCTGTCACGCCCACACCGCCCAGACCGCAGCCAGCTCACCTGGCTAAGCCTGCACGTCTTCTTACTGTAATAACCAGGCATTCAATTCCTTGTTAAAATAAGATTCCTAGAGAGGACCCCCACTCTGATGGACAAGTGCATGTGAGCAGCGTGAACGGCTCCAACCTCGTGAGTGAGGAAGGAGTGACTGGTGTCTGCTCCCTGAGGCCTGGGGCCAGCGGGGCAGGTGGGCCAGGGAATGTGGGGGGAGGCGCAGGGGGGGCAGGCCAGGGAGGGGAGCAGCAGGGGAGGCGGGGTCTGCGGAGTGCCGGGCACTCACCCAGCATGAGGAGCACCTTCTGCAGCTCCCCTTGCCTGGCGGAGAAGTACAGCTGCTTGGGGTGGAAGCGAAGCTTCTTGGGTCTGTGGGGAGAGCACAGGACGCTGTCAGCACCGGCCCACCTGCCGCCACTCATGACGTCTGCCTGTTGACTCCTCCAGGTCAAGGGCCCCAAACCCCCGGCTCGAGGCATTGCACACCACCAACAAAACACAAGCCACTGCCTTCTCCACCCAGCAGGACAGGGCTCCTGGGTCCTGTGCACGGGGAGGACAAGATTGTCGGGCACAGAGCTCCCCTCGGCCGCTGAGGCCGGGCGCTGACGAGGCCTGACTCCAAGTGGCCGTGCGCCCGGCCCTCAGTGCAGTCTCTCCAGCGTTTAACTCCCCGAGGCAGCAAGGTCCAGGGCCAGGCCCTGAGCAAGGGTCACGAAGCTGAGGGTGACACCATGGCCTAAGCCAGGGGTCCTCAAACTACGGCCCGTGGGCCACAAGCAAATACAAATATTGTATTTGTTCCCGTTTTGTTTTTTTTACTTCAAAATCAGATGTGTGCAGTGTGCATAGGATTTGTTCACAGTTTTTTTTAAAACTATAGTCCGTCCCTCCACC